AAAAAAGTGTGGTATATTGTGGCTCAGATAACTATTAAAATACTTTGACACCTAAAACTAAACACATGCAAAAAATATTATGTTTGTGTATTTCAGATTGATCCTGCTGTTGCCAGACTACTGAATGAAGAGGAACTGTCTAAGTATATTCCTCGATTTGGCGATAGAGTCTTTGCAAAAAATTGGATGCCGATAAATGCAGAGGAACATGGGAATGAAGACAGAAAACAGAAATTGATCAACCGATTGAGAGAAAAAATGAAACTACCAGCAATTCAAATTCAGAAAAAAAAATATGGAGTTGGCAATAAGAATGTTAAAAGCAAGACAAGGGAAATTGAACTTGGCTGGATGAACTACCAAGATAGCAGCTACAAACAAGTTAGAAGACCCAAAGGAGGTGGAACACGAGAAATTGTTGTTAAAAAAGAAGACACGGTGTTAAATGTTCTGAATATCGGGAGAAAACTTTTTTCCCTAATGGTAAATCAGTAAAAGGGAATGCTGACGATTTCAACTTTATGCTCTGTGTCACTGGCTCTGAAGAACCACTCAAAGAAGATCAGACAGTTGGCGGCTTGTACGAGGCAACACGTTACCAACTTCTTAGACTGTATGTGTGCACAAGACTGAAAGATCAGGATTCTGATCAGAGTGATGAAACTGACACAAATTTGACTCTAAAGAGATCCCGGCTTACTTCCACAACTCCATGTGCTCCATGTGCTTCAGGATGTAACAATCAGAGCAGAAGTCAAACTTTGCACTCCCCGACTGTCAGCTCAAGTAGCTCAAGTGACTATATACTCCAGTCTTCTGATGATGAAGTGGTGTTCCTGGGTAATGATGTGAACACATCCTTTGACATGGTCTCTGACACACTTGTATACTCACCTGTACATGTTAATTGTGCGGGGAACGAAACATTTATTGAAACAATACCGGAAACAGTTCCACAAAAAGAGATGTGTTAAAAATGACACGTTGTGCAGAATTTTAACACATGTGGTGAGTGTGCTCAGGGACAACACGTTGTCAAATTTAACACAATTTGTGTTAAGATGGATCACACATCTACGGTGTAATGTAATTTAACACACAACGTGTCATTTAAACACATTACGGTTAACTGAAAATGATCAGAAACTCCTTAATAATTTTCTCACATTATAAAAATGAAGACATTTGCCAAAAACTTTTAAGTTAATTAATTTTCCTCATTAATGT